GAGGCAAATCAATGGCATAGGTCAAATTCTTCCCTCTGACAACTCGAGCCAACCCACCTCATAAATGGTACGGGCGTCGAGTTGGCCGGTTCGCCCAAAAAACCAGCCCAACCCCAAACCGTTAAGCCCAGATAGCGTGCTCAACCAAACTTCAAGTTCAAGTTCCTTAGCCAAGAACTGAAGAAGCTCTTTCATGCCATGCTACCACCGATCACTACACTCATTGACGTTGGAACTTGGGGAGTGGTGTTTGGGTTATGGTTGAGCTGGCCTCGAGTGACACGTGTCACCTCTATGGGTCGTCTTATCTCTTCGGCCACATCGGAGACACGCAAGGTGGATAAGCGTGACCAAGAAAGGAGAACCCCATACAATTAAGGAGGACAGCTCTATCGGGGATTAGGTCTTATCCCGAAGACCTCGACGGACAACCTCATCCCAACAACCCCGGAAACCTCATCCGAATAGAACACAAATCTTTGGCTATAAAAAGGTAACTCCTACTCAAGGTAAAGGACTTTTGACTCTTCAACACCCATACTATTATTCTGCCTCTACTCGAACCAGCACTTCTCTCAACTGCTCGGCCCGACCACCCGTCGTTCTTGACTAGTTTGAGCATCGGAGTACCTACCCGGGGAACAACTCCTCGGGCCTCTGGTCGCTTTCTTGTTTCAGTTCTTGGTGTGCAACTTCATGCTTCCTCCTCAGCTTCGCTAGTAGATAGGAACATCTGACTGCGATCTTGGTTTGGGACACCTCGAATCGGACAACATCAATATCCTTAAGAATCAAATGGTGGGATTTAAAGTAAATAGAAGAGGAACCATAGTGAGAAATTTGTGGACCTTTGCCATATGCACTTTTGATTTCACCAATGCCAACATAATGAGAGATCAAATGTAACTTGTTAAGGTTGACGGTAAGGTGATGGCCAATGAGTGTCTCTGAAATTCAATATCCACACATCATCAAACTTGTAAACCATAGATGAATATGCATAGTATGTAGATGGTTCTCATTCAGATAACTTCAAGGACTCAATAAAAGAGAAGTTTACAACAATACCTTGCCAAATGGTTCTTGCTACCACAAATTTGGCAAGGGGTCTTATTGTACTTTGACTCCTTTATAAAAATGTTAGTATTGTGATTGACATCATCACCATGGTCAGATTGACGACCCTTATAGTTCTTTGAGTTTTGACTATGAGATGACGTAGCTGAGTTGTGATGCCAAATTGCAACATTTGTAGAGAAGCCACCATCCAATGTAGACAAATGATAGTGAGAGAGTTGAATTGAATGTATAAATAACTTACCTTGGAGGTTCTTAAATGAGATTTTATTAGATTGAGTGGTTATGGAAGTTGCAAAGGCATCATACTTTGAGTTAAGACCATTTAAGGTATAACAATGGTTCAAAGTATCGATACACATTTGTGTATCCGCAGAGGCATATCAGTACTTAGATACACACAAAATACTTTTTTTTTAGTTTTTTTTTTTTTAAGTTAGGTTATTGGGAAGATATTTAAGCATATTTTTATTAAAAAAAGTGGGGTCCCAAAACACCTATAAATAGGTGTATCAGATCCCCAAAGATACGATACGATATACCTGATACGGGGTGTATCATATCAAAATTTTGAACCTTGGGTATAATGGATCATCTTAAAGTTAGATAATGGTTCTCCTATAATAGTGCAAGGAAATCTAAGAGATATTTGATTTGTTACGAGGACATAGTTGAGCCATCTTTTTTCTAAGTGGACTAAGAAGATAGATTTCCGGAATATAACATTATGAACCATATAGTTGTTTTAACTGAATTGCTTTTCTTGAGAAGTTAATCCAACAGGTTGAGAGAGGATTGGTTCAGTTAATGATGCAAGCAATCAGTTGTGTAATCTTTCATAGACAACAATTTCGGTATCAATAGAAGTTGTTGATAAATCAATAGTTCAAGTGGGCTCAAGCATGAGTGCTATTCCGTAGCTGAAAAAGTGTGTTTTCAACTTGGAATCTACATATGTTGTATAGTTGGAGATATCCCACCTAATGGATACAAGTTGAGATAGGTTAAACCCATAATCAATTAAACCATGGGCTTAGAATAGCAGGATAGGATGAAGTTGAGTTCAAGTTTCTTGAAATAATTAATATACTCTAATTCTTTTTAACTTTTTAGTCAAAATTGTTAGGCTCACAATGGCGCTTGAAATGAAATAGTAACCAAGAAAATCCAATAGAAGCAAAAATAAAGAAATCCAAGCAAAGATAGAAGAAACAAGAATAACCAAGAAAGCAAAGGATTTATATGGTTTGGCATTGCTGCTTATGTCCATGAGAGAGACAAAAACCATTCTTGACTATGAAAGAAAACAAGAAACAATATAAGTACCTTGTGTCTTGTAACCCAAACCACCCCTTAACCCATTTGCACTTGTTCTCCCTTTCCTCTCTCAATCAAAGAACAAAACAAGAGAAATAACTCACTCTTACACCAAGAGCACTCCATCTATCAACTTCTCTTTTTTCCTCTCCAACAAGAAAAAGAGCAAAATTCTCTTTAAAATACCTTATATACAAAAGAACTCTTTTATACATAAAATCTACCTTAATCTAACGGAGGGATTATACTCACTAGATTATAACCTAATCCAATAGTTGAAAAATAAGACACAACCCTAACAATCTCTATCTTGGCATATTTTTCAACCATGTTGGAGATCTTTCATTTGTGCCTCCACCTATTCATAAATACCGCAAACATTCATGCATTGGCCTTAGAAACCACTAAAGTTACACACAACCTAAACCACTTGGTCTTTGCACCACCTAATTTAAATAAAACGGCCAATGCATCTACATAGTTACACCTGAGTTAATAATATTTGTTAATTTTAGAGATGGACTTAAATACTTTCTATCTCCTAGCAGGAGCATTCCTCTCACCATCATTTGTATCCTAGAAATATGTAGCACTTGTCTCCACCCCAAATGCGAAAAAGACTCTCCATATAGCTACACTACCTTATATATTCCATTTTCAGTAGTTTATTGAGGTCTTGGGAACCATCGTATTCCCAACCAGATAATACAATTCCTTGCACTTTTCTCCCTTTATCAAGACCATACCACCACATTATTGTTTGGATTGCAAAAGCCCCATAAAGGCTGAACCTGCTAGGGTTTCATGGCTGAAATTTAAAACTTTTCAAAGTCCAACTACAAGAAAATCAAAATTTTCATTGGAAAATGCAATTCTCCTATGATCAATCCAACCCTAAAACAATCCAATTTTCTTTGTGAAACTAAACTGAGTATATCTGATACGGAGACCACAAAAATGCAACTATCAATCAAAATGATAAAGCCGAATTGCATACCAACTTTTTAGTTTATGTGTTGCTGTAAACCACTTCAATTTTTTTGGGAGAAAAAGTCTCTTGTATGGTGTAGTCAAACTAGGGTTTGGCTACCAAAAGAATGCAAGAGAATCTCTACCTAGATCTCTCCTATTCTATCTTTTATAGAGTTGCCAATTCTGATGTCATTAGGAGTTTCTAAATCTAACTTCTAATCTAATTAGAAGTTCTCTGATTAGTGATACTCCTAATTGCATTAGTAATGAGAGAGGTCCAAATCCAATCCCATAACTAATTCAACCAAGATAGCCCATAAGCACATCAAAACTTGAGGAGTCATGTGACTAATGTAACTAGTTAATGGGCCTATAGCATAAGTGGTTACTTAATTACATTAGTTGAAAGTCAATTAAGCTTGAATATTGTATGGCGTAGAACTCACAAAGATCTCATATCAATCCATATGGGGTTTGGCCCATAGAGAAACACATAGGCTTGAAGTATAGGCCAGTTTAGTGAACCCCTTAGCCAATCAAACTAGGTTTAGTATGGGCCCAACACTTAATAGTAAGTGATCTTTGGTTTCAACCACCAAATCAAATTAGGCTTGAAGTATAGGCCAGTTTCCACCATGTTTGCTTTTCTTGTATGGCCGTTGTCAACCTATCAATGTATTTTTTTTTCATGTTTTAGAAAGGTATACTAAAAGTATGTATTTATTGCTAAATTGAAGTGGTAATACTATGAAATGAATCGCCACTTGTAAGATTTGTCTGATCTTCGAATTGGATCGGACTCAGCTATACCCTGGTTCGAATCCGATCCTATCCATTTACATCCCTTGTCCAATTCCCTAATTTATAAAGGGATGAAGTATGAACGCTCCCCAACTGGTTCTGGTTACACGGGTTTGATCATGGCATAAAGCTGGGAAAATGAGTCTCGCTCGTATGCATGTGATTCCTTATTTCCTTTCCTTCATGATCCAATCCTAGTATTTAAAGATTTTCATTTTTCATTTTCTTTTACCTTCCACTTGCCCCCTTCAACGCAGGGGCCTTTGGGGTCCGGTTATTGGGTTGATTCGAACGATCAGTCCATTCTGACAAAAAAATTAAAAAAACAAAAAACAGTTAAAACTGTTCAAACGATTAACCATCCGGGTTAATGGTTTGTTGACCAAAATCAATCAATTTAGGCAAATTTTCGGTTTTGGAGAAAATCGAAACCGATCACCTAACCGGTTCCCAGTTTTTCCGGTCCGGTTTTGAAAATCATGATAATTTATAAAGGGTCTAGGGCCTCTAGGCGGATTGAATTTGGATCACCATCAATGGGATGGAGTTCGAATTCTCGTACAAACCGGATCCGAGATGTTATTCGGTACCGTTTGCAGCGCTAAAATGTCAACAAGATTTGCAGATGTATGCGACCATGCATGGGTGTTGACTCGCTGGGATATTCCAGCGTGTCCAAACAAAGTGGATCCGAGTTGCGAATGATGGGACCTAGTGAAACTCTCTCTTTGCCACACGATTAAGGAGGAAGCGGATAAAATATGGCCATTAGGAAAATGAATGGAGGAGATTAGAAGAAGAAGATAAGAAGGATTCATGAAATCGAATACTCACAGTCACAGTCCAACTGTGAGTGAGTAACGGCTTTTTTTCGGAACGTTGCAATGGCGAGTCTCGCAGTTATAAATCAGGCTTCCGGGTTTGTCTCTCGTTGCAACGCACAGACCAAAAGCTCTGCATCAGTGGTTTCTGTTCCTCTTTCCGGAGTCAATTACAAGAAACAAAGTCGAGGCGGTTTACTGACTATAAGAGCAGAAACCATGGCGACCGAGAAGATGGGGATCAAGATCGAAAAGAACCCTCCTGAAGCCAAACTCACTGAACTTGGAGTCAGATCATGGCCCAAGTACGTTCAAACCCTATTAATTTTTTCTTAAGTCCGTAGCTTCTGTATTTCTAACCAATCTTTTTAATTTTCTTTTCTTTTGTGGAATACGGTGGAAAATCTTTGCTTGCATTTACCTTTTCAGCGTGAAAAATTGAGAAATCTACGTAGGTTTTTGGTATTATTCAAGAAAGTGCTTTTTCTTGTTTTTTAAATTTATTTGCGGGCTCGCCTTTTCAATGCGGAGATTGTCATTTTCTTTTAGGGCTTTGATTTAGATGGTAAGAGTTTAACAGAATACGACATTTGATTGCTGTTAGGACAAAGGCTTAATGAGTTATATCGCACTTGGTCCGTTGGTCGATATCTTTCAGTTAAAATTTTGGAGGGTTGAAGTTGTAATCTGCAAAAATTAGAGGGAAGATACGTCTCTCAAGAATCAAGATAGAACAATAGCGGGGTGGGGGTGGGAGAAAACTTAGAGAAGAGGGGAAAAGAGGGGAGGCTTCGTTGGTTGATGCTTTTGGTGTCACTAAGTAGTCACTGTCAAGTAGAAACCTGCCTTTTGACGCAGATGCCAATGGTGCTTGGATCTCGCTAGCCAAACTGCTAAAGCGTTCTGGGTGTTACAGGGTTGACAATTTATTTGCTCCACACGGCTTGGGAATTAGGAGTAGTATGATAAAGAACCATGTTTTTCCTTTTCCTGTTCCCCTTCACTGTGTACTTCCATTGCCACGATGAAGCCAAGGATGAAAATGTTGTTTTCATCAAAGAAGCCATTGAAACTTTGGGTAGAAGTATTAAAATCTAGAAAAAAACTCGTTATACTAGGTATACTTGGATGTATATACTGACTTGGTCACTGCAAATAGTCATTGGGGGGATTACCTTCTAGCATTGTTTGTTACAATAACAGAATATCTAATCTTTAGCCAGCTTGAAAATTTTGAGATGACTCGTTCATGATGATTGACTTTTTATAGTTCAATATTGAGGTATGGATTGGTTGAGTTTATTGTCAATTGCATGATAGCCAGTTTCCACCATGTTTGCTTTTCTTGTGTGGCCGTTGTCAACCTATCAGTGGTTTTTCATGTTTTAGAAAGGTATTAGTCTTTCCACTAAAAGTAGGTATTTGCTAACTTGAAGTGGTAATACTATGAAATGAATGACTTGAAAGACTCAATCAAATTCTGATTTTTCCCTCAGTTGATGCACTCAGTTGCTTAGTCCTGTCAAAGCCGCTGCCATGCTTGCTTTTCTTTGGTCATGGTTATGACTTTATTAAAGTTGGCTTAGGCCTGTGCCAAAGCTGCTACCACTGCACCATGCATTTGGAATTATTGAGCTCGTTGATATTCCAACCAGTCTTGCACATGATTAATCCCCCTTCCATCATCAAAAGATGGTGTGTTTGTTCATGAAGAACTTTCATGCTTAAATTTGAAGCCTGTTATTAAATTTTGTATAATGGAAAGTTTGAAATCTAAGATGTAGGCATATTTATTAAAAGTGATCTATGTGATCGAGAACCACAAGTGTTGTAACTGTTGGAGGGAAGAATTAGACACTATGGAGGACTGACTGCCTGAAAGACACAAATGGCGTGGGGGTGAGGGTTGTAATAAGAGAGGGAGATTGCCAGGAGAGGTTGCAGATCTTAGATTAGACATCTGAGAAGGGTTTCTTTGGTGGGAAGTGGAAATTCTCAATATGTGGCAGCAAGTACATGTGGGGATTCCCTCAGGGGACCCCTATTTATAGAATTTTCTTAGGAAGTTTCCTTTTTTGGAAAGTTCATAATAGAGTTTGTTATAGAGTTGCTCAATTTGCGACACTTGGACTAGTTGGGGTCTTGTCACGTGTTCATGTCGGTACTTGGGCTCTTGCCCATTCTCGACGTGTGCATGTGAGGACACAAGTAGCTAGTTGCTGCAAACCCTTCCTAAGTTCTTAAGGAGAATGCAACTAAAGGTTGAGTGCAATGGGGATAAGCGTCAATTTACATGCTTGATTGGATTGCACTGGGA